AGCACATCGGTATTCACATTTTCAGCTCGTCTATCGTTTGTTTGCGAACGGTCCATTTTCAAAATACTAATTGCTTATTTCCATCTATCAAAAGCACAAAGTTTTAACTGTACTTAAGCAGAAAATTCTTACCTTTGGTTCGAAAAGATGAAAAACAAATAAATTATCAAAGTGTGTGTAGTCGGAGATTAATTTTCTGACGCTTAATCGTGTAATCTTTTCAGTTTGCATTTGAGTCACCTCAACAAACGAGCGATATTTATGTCTGTCATTGCCAGAGACGCTCGTTTGTTTTGTTGGCAGGGCTCGCTGGGACTTTGCTGTGTGCACTTTTGCACACGTGTAATGTAAAGGCATCTGTGACTGAGCTTATAATGGTGGTGGTACGCTTTCTGTTTTATTGCTGGGTGGGTGACTGAGAGAGGGATGCAGATCAAGCATGAGGGCAGAGGGCTCTGCACGCTCATTGGCTGCTCAAATCGGGCGGCTGCGGGAGAGGAGGGGGAGGGAAAGGAGGAGGAGGAGGGGGTTGAGGGAGCTCATAACGCTGGTGATGAGAGGCTTTGTAGCAAAGTCATGTTTCATGTCAGAGCTGTAGGAGAACACGTCTGCTAATGTGCATCTGGGACATAAAAGATGGAGGAAGTTATATTCCTCTCTATTCCTCTGTTGTCGCCCTCCTGCTGCTTTCCACTTTCAATTTCCTCATTGTCACCCATCATCTCAGGCTTATATACATAATCCTGCTGTTCATCCTACAGCTGTCTCAGTCCATCCATCTCCATGTTCACTTCTTCCCCAGTTTGGTCTCTCTCTTTGTTGTCTTCGCATTATTTTAGTCCCCCTTCCTTTTTCTCACTTCACACCTGTTTGAAAGCAAGGTGCGCTCTCAGAGACAAGTGAGAACACAGGAAGCCTTTTATCTGTTTATTCTCCACTTTTTTTTCCACTTTGTGCCTTCTTATCTTCCCCTCCCACACTGCTGCACCAGCGCCAAGCATGCATAAATGCATCCGTGCGCTCTTTCAGCACGTCAAGTTTAAGACATGCTACGCATTCTTGACAAGGTTATATAAACGAGGTCAGGGGTTTGCTCCCACTGATGCCCTCGCTCTCATTCTCCAAATCCGAGGGTACTGTAAGGCTCCAAAAACATATGAAACTGCTGGCTCATGTTTTTTTGTTTTTAGTGTGCCATTTGCACTCAACAATACAAGAGGTTGTCTGTCTGAGGATACGCACATACTCTACATTTAGCTTTCAGACAAAGGGAGCACATTTTGAACGATGCAACCTTTAGCCGACACTCCTTTAATGGCACTCACATGCCCACACACACTCGCAGTGTAAAAATGGCAGCAGACCAACCTGGAGGCTGTGGACTCAAAATCCTCATAAGTACGAGCACTCGAGGCTGAGGCTGGCAGCAGCATGAAGTCATGTGTCAGTCACCTTGACCTCAGCGGTCAGTTGACATTAACAACTGGCAGATTTCACAGATTTTTCCGTCATATAACACAGCCTGCAGGTTCAAATGGTATTTGTTTGTGTGCGTGCGTGCGTGCGT